GTCGTTTTAATTGCTCTGTCTTCCTTCCTTTTTTCTGGACAGTTTTCTCATAAGGGGGCAAAAGTCTGGTCTTGTTCCTGTTATTTGTCGGCTCTTTTACCGTTATATAGTAGAAACGGCGACTCTGAAAGTGTCACTTTTTTCTTTGGTATCTTCGGGTGTTTTTTTTTTTTTAGTCTGTCGGGGTTTTTTCCTTAAATTTTTAAAAATGTATTAATTTGTTTTAAATGAATGATCGAAAACGCCAGAGGTAGTGTCTCTATTATTGTGTTTCTGCTAGCTTTCTACTGTCTGCACGTATGTCTGTTTGCCTTGTCTGTCTGTGTGTCCGACTGACTCTTTCCAGCTCACAATGACGTTGTTGTGTAAAATTGTTTCTTTATAGCTCTTACAAAGAAATAAACGGTTGTTGCTTTCGCCGGGAGCACTCGTGTCGTTTCGCGAGCCTGCTTCCGGAAGGTGTCTTCAACTTTGTACTCGTCACGTGAAAATGTCGATACTCACTTTCCCAAGTACGTAGGCGGGCAAGCTTTGTGCTGACTCTGGGATATATTACGTGGATGGTCACTTTGTCCAGTGCGAGTACTTCACCACCGGATGCGGCCAGTTTCCTGCTCGAGAGTTCTGTGGGTCACCGTGGCGTGGAGGGTGCTGAGTCGTGACTTTCCCAGCTGACCGCCTTGCACTGCTTTGGTCACTGTATAAGCGTAACGACTCTTTCAACATGTGCGATGCAGAAGGGCTATTCACAGGGCATGCGATTTGGTTGTGAGCGTAATCAAGATTATATGGATGTTTGAGATTAAGTCGATATTGGTTGGCGTGTGCTCTGGTGTGGTTTGCTCCTTCTTTCCTATCAAACATAATATGTCGTCCTGATCTCTCTTCCTTCTTTTTATGTTTGTTACTTTATTGTAACACCTCTTATCTTCGGCACTTAAATGACCTTATTGTGTTGCACATACCGTAAAACTCTTACTATAACTAAAAAGGTCGAAATTGCGTCTCCGCATTTATTTCAGCTCCGCTAGTCTCTATCTACCGAACTTTTACGTCAGTCTGATGTCAGATTTCCGTCTTTTAACTAACCACCTCATGATCCAGTATGACGTTACTACACCATCACACCACCACCCTGTCCTGTCTGTCTTTCATC